TGTCGGCGTTTAGTCTTTGTGGTGTTTTTTTAGTTGGTGTCATCAAATTTGTTGTTTTCAGAAATTAGGATTTTTATCGACACAGAAGAGCTATGCCCTCTATAAACACAAATGTGCGTCGCCAATACAACATTTATGGGCCGTCACCGATTTATATTACGTGCAGTGGATGGTTGGGCGTTATGTTTATCATAATTGTCTACTCTACTAACCAAAACATAACCGTTTACAAAGCCTGTCGCCGACACTGGGACATGTTTCGATCTGACTAATTTCACACAATTGTGACGTTTGCAAAGACTCCCATTGTGTGCTGCGCACATGGGAGTCAAAAATGTATAAAGCAGAAATGATAATTCTCTTTTTGAAATATGTCGTGGCCCTTAGAAACGATTCAAGCAAATCATTCAAGCACTCATTCGGCTATAGCGCCATCAACTGCGAAACCAATGTTGCAATATTGTAGCAACCCATACCTGAGAGTGTGTTTGAAAGCGCATTGTTTTGTATTAATAAAATATTTCGTAGCAGTTTGCGAATCCATAACTGGGGCCTGCCTGCTACTCTCCTCCAGTAATAATAGTTTCTCCTTAATTTCCACCAGCAGTCTATAGAGGGCGCTGCACTACAAATTTTATTTCATGATAGTGCTGTAAGATTGAATACTGCTGTGAAATTTGGGAGGACCCTGCCATGAATTTATGCATTTAAAATAGAAACAAATTTTTGAACATTTAGTTATAGCATCAAACTCACCTAAAGACATCAGGTAAGTCATGGCTGGCCCAGCATTTTTTTAAAGATTTCATTTTTACATTTTATGCTAAAAATTTGGCAGAAAATAAATTGAAATAATATTAAAAAGTCACACTTTGATATTTACTTTACATATTCATGTGCATTCCAGAATGATTTAGTTCCAAAGAAACTATATGATGCATCCCCTTTTGTGATTTTAAATTGAAAAGACAGACTTCAATTTGTAAGTTAGGATGAGTCTGCAATCACATCTATTTAGGGACGACGTCAAAAGATCGATGTCGGATAAAAAACTTAGTTCCTTTAGTTTTTTTCCAACCCCCCCCCCCACCCCTAACTGAAACTTAATTGATAAATATTGGTCATGGCGCCAGACTAGATTCACCATTAAATCCAAATTGATAATCGGACAGTAGTATGGCATAGCAGTTGGTTGTCGAGTGGGTGTAAAAAGACTTTAAAAATGCACCTCACTTGACGCACATATTTACACTCAAACCAATTCATTTTCTCATCTTGGATGTTATTTCTGTCCATGATTGGATAGAAAAAAAAAACGAACTACAAATACTCCAAGATTTCTTTGACTTCATTAAAAAATAAAATCGTTTTTGTAGGATGGAAACTTTTTTAGGTCACCCTCACCCCCAATCTAAAGGAAATAAGTTTTTTATCCAACATTGATCATTTGACGTCGTCCCTTAGTAGTATATAGATCATAAAAATATGTTTAGCACTTACAGTTTTATCAAGTATGTGATCAGGAACATTACGTTCATGGTTACAGATACTGTAGGAGCCCGAATGGCTGAAAATGATTGGTGCCTCGCTAGTGTCCAACGCATCTTCCATCGTCATAAAAGACACATGAGATAAGTCAACCATCATGCCTAAACGATTCATTTCTTTCACAACTATCTGCAGAACAAAACAGACAATTATAAGTAAAACAGAGCAGAAAACAGACAACTAATTGGAGTACAGATTAGATCAGAAAATTGACGGCAATCTACAGATTTATTTTTATCTAGAGAACGGATTTTGATCTTGGTAGAATATATCTTCAGATAGTGTCTGGATTACAATCCAGATTCTTCTGGCAATACTGTAAAATGACTAATATTCACTGGGTTTAAATTACGCTGATTTACCATTTCGGGCATATTCAGCGGGTTTTATCATTTCACGGTTTTATCATTTAGATAATGTGTATTATGCTAAATTTTACATATTCACTGGGTTTTAATTTAGCGCATTTTCAAGTCAGCGAAACAAGCAAAATTAAAACCCAGTGAATAATTAATCCTTTCACAGTAGTGCACTCTGACAAATTAATCTACTGTAGAATACTTTATTTTCACTTGGAAATTATTTTCGCTATTTTCGCTGAAGGGATGATTCCGTGAAAATAAAATCCAGCGAATATACTTTTTTTTCTATATTTCACATTCAACTCATCAAAAATCAGTGAAAATAAATTCCATAAAGAATGCCCAAAAAACTTTTTCAGCGAAAATTAATTCCAGCGAAAATAAAGTATTCCACAGTATATTGTAATAGTTAACCAAGGAATACATAGGTATATTTTTGATGAAAAGGCAGAAGGTTTTCTGTTAAACACAGTACGAGCAGTATACAAAGCTCCATGTAACAGAGGTACTTTTATGTTCTTGTATCTTGGTATGTTATGACACACAGACCTGGTCCATAGCACACTAGTATCCAGACTATGGCCTTCACTTATATCCAAATCTATGTATGACCTCTCACCTTTCCCCAGTCTGTTAGACCATCATGTTCACTTGTATTATCACGGGTCATTTTATTATTATCTGCCCTAGAATAAAAAATATGATATATACAAATGAGTACTTATCATTAAGCCTACAATGTATGTGCTTTCTTATGCATTCAAGAACTCTACTGTAATACGGTAGCTTAGGAACAATTATGTAGCGCCCTCTACTGGTTTATCTTATTGTCAATGCTGTAAAACCTCATATGGGTTGGGAAGTGATATACTCTCTCCATTCACGTACCCCCCCCCCCCAATTTTGATGGAGGTCTGTAGCCAAAACTCAAAACATTTGTTCTGAAAAGTATGCAAAAGCTAAAAGTTTTTTAGTAAAAATTACATTACTTTTGCCCAAATTTTTTGAAATCTGTCATATGTTTTGGATTATAAAACAGAACGTCATGTATATTATTACTGTGTAAGTCTGTAATTTTGTTATTAAAGAAAGACTGTGCATTAATTGTTTCGCAATTCTGATGTTGCAAAGGTGTAATTTGAGTGGGATATTTCAAGTGCATATGTTGGGCAACACAAATGTGCATTTTTTCATTCACAATTTTTGCTTGTTCACAAAATCATGAATATGTGAATATCTAATTATTTTACAGTATTTGACATATACCCGGTAGTATAGATAATTATGGCTAGATGTCAAGTTAACGATAGTTTAATAACTGTTTCCCTGTCCAATATCATACACCTGTCCTAAATGAGTAATGACAAGAATTTATAAAATTGACCAAGCAATGTACTATAGAATACTGAGGGGCTGACAATAGAAACACTGGTGGGGATGGTTATGCACCAATCAATGTAAACCCTGACCCCTCCCACCTCTGGTGTTATGGTGCAAGTATGGGGGCTAATCCTGGGAAATTGGTACTCACAGTAGCCCCAGAGGCTCAGGATAATTTGGGTTAAAGAACTTTCGTAAATAACTTGATCACACATCGGGCAAGTTCGGGACAGAATTTGACTACACACTGATGTTTCAGGAACAAGAAGGAAGAAAAAATGAAGATAGAGGCTGCGGGAATGGGGTAGGAAATGATTATGGTAGTAAATCACTTTTTGTTTGCCCCAGGGGGTGGGGCACTATACACTTCAATCATTGTCCTTGTCCCCACTTATCCCGAAGTGGGGGTGGTTGAGGTTTACACTGACTGATGCATTACGTCACAGAACACTTTTGAAAACAAAAATCTGACAGGAGAAATAACAGAAAACACACAAATTTGAATAGAGGAAAACAAACAAAAAATGCTTAAACAAAATCAAACAAAATAGAGATCATATGTTAAGGAAAAGATAAATTTGCACAATTTTTTTTAGATTCACCTCTCTCTGAGTCTCGATTGGTACGAACCAGCTAAAACACCTATGCAGGAGTGTTGGTACGTCGTACTTACCACGGTGTATTGCAGTTATGTGTGAGGGTCATGTACCTCACCCCATTCTCGTACATAAGTCTTATCGTCGCAAGACTACTGTCAATACCATGACCACTCTCAACACCAATGAGACTCCCTATCCTACCATTATAATGTGCATCCAATATTCCTGTCAACATAAAAAAACTATTTTTTACTAGGCATGATAAGGGTCGCAAAATAGAAAAATATTCTCAATTAGTTTGTCCAATTTAGGTTAACCATGTCCTTGGACTTGTTTTTATTAAAACTCTCATCAACGTATATAAACGAAAGTAAAAAAATGACTGCGCCACCAAGTGACCAATTAATGAATACAGCATGCGCCAGATTAATCTCATCGCATTTCTTCAGCGAGAGGGTATCCATTATCAAAATAACATTACATTTGTAAACTTAGAACCACAGACATGTATTTGACTTCATGACTTCTTATTTTGATTTTAATTAAAGGGCAGTGGTTGTTATACAGCGTGTGTTTGAATTTCATGTAAACGTTGTAAAGCGTTGTACATGTCGCTATGAGTCCCATATCGAACAGGATGTGGCGCAACAACCACCGCCTTTTAAAGTAGTAGACAAGAATTCTACACAGGTATAAGACTAATGGACTTTCTAAGAAATGGTGTTATTTCCACTGTAATGAAAAGAAATTGTGCACTATGATATCAATATCCATATTGCAAATGGTCATTATAGACATGATTTACGTGTATACCATTAATAAATAACTGGTGTGGTGAAGCCAGAATTGTTGTCTAGAAATACATACTGTTGGACTTAATGGAATAAATGCCTAATAAAACTACTAAAACCTTCTTAAAACTCTATTTAAATGAGCTAATATTTACAGTAATATCATCCTTGAAGATAAGTATTCAAGCAATTAACTGAGCTTAAACTTGGCCTCAACTTTCCTCGAATGTAAATCAAAAGTATCCACAAAGATGCATCTCATCTGCAAGTCTCCCATTATAAAACCAGCCAGTGTCTCGTCATAAACCACGATTACCTCCGAGACGAACACATTAACTTACCTTGCGACGTAGTGACAAACTGAAATGTCTCACTGTATTGTTTTACAAATCGTTTGATAACATCGATTTGGTCCATGGTCTGGCGTAGCGAGTCCTGGAATTGGGTTTCACATGGGACGTAGGCAGCCCAAAACTATGTAAGATACAATGCCATATATAGAAATTGAAGTGTAGATGAACTTTTTAAATCCACACTTGAGAATTCACAAAGAGGACAATTTGTAATAAGTGTTTTTTTTTAGATTGCAGTCGTTTATTCACAGAAACACACATTTTACTCGGTTTTACAGCTCAAATTTGGGATAAACTACACTGATATAGAATAGAAGTTAAAAATCACATATAAATGTGTTCAAACTAAACAGATCAATAATCTGCATTCATTCATTCATACATCACAAGTATCCAACGCATGACAAAATAGTGATATATTATAATAATACATCTATTGGCACTGACCTGTGCGCCCACGTGTCCTTCACGAAGTCGGGGTATGTCGGTCTCGGCAAACTCTGTCAGATCATCGTGCATGTTGAACAGGGAGAGTTGATTATCCCAGTTTGTGCGTACTGACCACGGGAAATCATTGTGCCTATAAGTGGAATAATAACTTAGTGAGTATATTCAGTAGGTTGGGGGGTCTAAATCAGCAAGAATTATTAGCATATTTACATTTTGTACTATATATATCATCACGTATGAAATATTCAAAGATCCTTATTTTGATGCGTTGAATTTGAAAGAGAAAAGAAGACATTCTCAACCAAAAAAACACCTACTGAAACAAGAATTTGTAGACAATGTACACAGTCTGATAATGAAATAGAAGATGAACTGCACTTTGCTATATGCTTTCAATAGAAATTAATACGTGAACAAATCATACAAGACATTACATTCCCACAAGACACACAGGATGATTTCCAGAAATTTAATTTCTTGATGATTTCAAAAGATGATGAGATCATAATGAAGAAAGATGAGTAACTATACTCAATGTCATCTGATACTGTAATATTTGCTTTATCTCATTTCCTTCTTGCTTATCACAACTGATGTTTATTGCTATTAACAGATGAAGAAAAATTTTATTTCTTAGCCTCGCTTCCGTAGTCAGACATGTTACTCATGCGTATTGATGTTTTGAAACACGACTAAACTAAAAAGTGCGCAACACTCTTTCGGACAAGCGAATGAAAGCTACACGACTTCCTCGAGCAGGCGACCGTGACACGCCCATTTTACTGTCACTGTGAAAGATGAGTTACTGTTACGGGCTGGCCATCCTAAACTATGAGAAGCAAGATGGGAAAAAAACAACCAATTTCAATTCAGTTTTGAACCTGATATTTTCTCAGGATGATAGTGTTGCATTTATCATTTTCCCATATCAAATGTGCATGTATGTGTATTTTTTTCTTTTAAAATCTACGACTCCCAGAGTCAACCCCTCTAGAATAAATATCACCGCACGTATCATGTGTGATGGTTAAACCTCAACACGCCCAGTGTAATGTCAATCATGCATGGTTTGCATTTGGTGGCCGCTATTACTCATTTGTCATTCCTTAAAATAGTTTGTTAAACGCGTCCATGCAATGAAATTATTTTTAACTCCATCAGTTATATGCTAAAAAAAGACAATAACTATGGATGCACAAGAATGAATAACGAGCGTGTTCTGTACTACTGGTTATTCAGACTCTTGCGCGATGGCCGCGATTGGTCACGGATTTATTAGCCTGGAAATGCACTATATACAATAATTGTAATGAAAGATGATGAGCACTTGTGAATATTCATAATTTGTGTTTATTGTTCATATAAAGTATATATAAAATATAAATATATATTTGGCAGGTTTGTGGCGATCTGTGTGTCAATGGCCCAAATGTAATTAACCACAGACATCTACTAGTATTCTGTAATGTTTTTGATGTATACACCATCATGTTTTGAATAATATGTTAGTTTCAATTAAAAAGGCGAATATTAACCGGAGTCAGCTGAAAGCCGGGGCTGAAAGTTCACGGAATTGAATGAAATATAATTGCCATACAATATCAAAACACTGTAACTCAAAGTTTTGGGGTTGTTCTGTATGATATAATACAGCAATATACGGTATTGTTTGTTTTTTTGGCAAAACAAATGTCACAACAAGGAAATGAGCTAAGATATAATCTCACCCATCAACAAGAGGTACTTTCTGCATAATAGCTCTGGCCGCTTCCAAATACCCATCGCGTGTCTTGATCTTGTTTTTCAGTGAATACTCGCCTTGTGCCGTGTCTTCGACCTTGACTTCAACCGCATTATCCGATTTCAGTACCACGGGAACAGCAATAGCTATCGCCACGAAAACAGAAAAGACCAGGCCACTAAGAACAGCTACAACGCTGGTACATTTACGAGTGTATGTTGACGTTGCTGTGCTAGGAAGTAATGGACTTGTCTCTGACATTACTCTAATTGTCGAACTGCGTCGTTAACTTCGCCAAATAAAACAAACCGCGACCACAAGCTTGAGAGCAAATATAACAATACCAACGTGGAGTTGGCGCCCAATAACAGCCACAATAGAAGCTGGCACGCAATAACAGTAATGTGAAACTGTCGTAAAACGACGTCTTTTTCTGTGCAGAGTGGTGGGCTGATTCAAATAATAAAATAAACAACTAATTCCCCATTCGTGTAATTTCAATATTATAATAGCAATTATTATTATCATCATATGCGTAACGTTTTCTATGTCTGGGTTAAGTAACAGATCGAAGAATAAAGGCGTGATTTTGACATGAGCCGAGTGGGTCCCAAGTTGGTCACGACTAACGGGAACGCAAGTGCTGTAATCCCTCTGCAAACACAAATGATTATAAATTTCGGCCGAGATTTTCTAAGCACAAACGTTTCAAATAAACCAGATTTGCTATTTTTACCCTACGCATTCTGGAATTAAGTCGAATACATGAACGCCTGCGACCGGATTGTATGTTTCCTACCAAATGCATCTAAACCCGACTTAAATGTATTTCTCAACATCTTACGAAAATCCAACTTTAAACGTTCACAGTATTATTGAAAAAGACGACACGACACAAATGTAGATTTAAAAAACAAACACAACGACAGCAGCAAACGATAACAGCTATTTACGAATTTGTATGGATAATAATAATATTAACCAAACAGTTGCTTTTTTTTTTACTTTCCAGGTAATATGGCGCATATTAATACTAAATTGAATGAAATCACTACCCAACTAAAACATAAATCGAAATTAAACATGTGAACATTTAAACCATGATAGCAATGAAATTGGAATTTAGAATATTTTAAAACTAAAAAAAACAAATTCCAAGTAAAATTGACGAAGCATCGTGAGAGGGCGCCATTATAATAAACGCAAATATTTACCACGTATTGCTAAATCGCCCGTAGGCTAAATCGCTTCCGATATATGTATTCAGTTTGGGAGACACATTTAAAATTTGAATATTTGGCACTGCAATGTCTACTTGATATAGAGCCTAATTTCCTTGTTGTAACCATACAAATACAAAAAATTGTTTTCCTCCCTAGTGTATACATATGGATGGTGTACTTTTCTACAAGATTGTATGACAAAACAGGCATCCACACTTTGGCAAATAGAATTTGAATGGTCTATTTATACGTTTACTGTATGACAGTCGCCATGCAGCTACACGTCGCCTGCTAACAACGTCATACGCGTTGTATACCTCGCCTGCGTTACGTCGATGAACATTATTGTTCTGGAGTTCATCCCGTGTGTCTTGTGGGAATGTCTTTCTATTGAAAGCATGTAGCAAACTGAAGTGCAGTTCGTCTTCTATTTCATTCTCAGACTGTGTACATTGTCTACAAATTCTTTTTTCAGTAGGTGTTTTTTTTTTTGGTTGAGAATGTCTTCTTTTCTTTTTCAAATTCAACACATCTGTGAATATTTCATACGTGGTGATACATATAGGTTAAGAAGTACAACATGTAAATATGCAAATAATTCTTGCTGATTTAGACCCCCCAACCTACTGAATATACTCACTAATTTATTATTCTACTAGGCACAATGATTTCCCGTGGTCAGTACGCACAAACTGGGATATTTTTGTGTTTGGGGTTTCGGGTTTATGAGGATTATTTAACATCTTATTTACTTAGTATAGGCCTGCTATATATTTCAGAACAATGCACGCCCTCTACCGTTAAAATCATATTTGCAGCAAAATAGATCAACAATGAGTACTGTATATTACACAAGTTATTTTCAGAACGATGTGTTTATTTAGTGAGAAGATAATCTTGAGACACACAATCTAAAAGCACATATTACACATTGAAACATGGTAAGTAAGTCATACCATAACATTCCAATCAATAACATCATGATCTCTTTAAAAAGGCTTAATCCGGATTGAAGATTAGAAGAGTATGTTATGTTTATCAAACTTTCATTTTTATGGGTTTATGCCATCAAGATACCAAAAATGAAAACAAAAATAAGGTCACTGGGCAATAGGCGATTTTCCTTTCAACTGCGAGATCTCGCGAGTTGCGTGAAAGATGTGCGCCGTACGTCTGCCGCAAAAATCGAATGATTTGATTTTGATCTCGAATTTCTTTATTTCGTAGCTCACATCAAAAAGCCGATTTTTGACAGGGGAAAATTGCGTTTGAATATTTCATCGAAATTGACCATCATCACATGTGTACATTATTAAGTGTGGAAATATCCCCAAAATACTTAGCGTTTGTCGAATCCCACGCATAATGTTTGTCGCCACTACGACATTCGATTTCACGCATAACGCGGGATCTCGAAGCACAAAAGTTGGAACAATAATCGAAACTGGCATTTTTACACTGGTTTCCATGGTGAAATTATTTCGTCGCAGCTCACAATTTCGCTTCGTGACATGGGATGAAAGAGTCATATACTATTATTTCTAAAAAAAAATGACATATAATTTATAAGTTTCTAGGGTGATAATAGTTTCTAATGGGAGGCTGTTTTTATGGGAAGCATAACTCATCGATGTAAGTGTTGTTTCAGTCACCACATTTCTGAATTATTAAGTGAATACAAAGAAGAAATGTATCCAATTTGCACCATGACTTTTGGAACAGTCATGTTATATACTTACTGGTATGAATTCGAATTCTGAGGATTTGCCGGTTTAATTCGGAAAAGAGGCAAATTTGAGTTAATCCAAGCTCTTTAAAAAAACTCAAATGGGAACCATGGTAACCTGTTGCAGTCACAATATTTGAACAAACTTTGATTCGTGGCATAACAAAATCTGTAATTTTCTTGTTTATTTCAACCCATAGTCACTCGGAACAAGTTGTATGGAAAGCATGCTGTAGGTGGTGATTAAATTGTGTTGTAATATAGCTAGTTCCAAGTTCAATGTTTGTTCATAGATGAATGTTGTACAGTCGTTACGTAATATGTACAGACATTGTTGTTTGTCCATAATTATTGAAACGGACAACATAGGATGGTATGTAAGATTGTATTTCATACCATATTTTAATGTTTCATCTTCATTCTGGCTTTGTTTCATTTTTTAATCGTAGCCCCTACTTGGTGTAGCCTCTATATTTATTTTCCACCGAGTTTCTATCCTATACACAGATAATCTCAAAATGCAGTTTACAATTAAATAAAATGAAATCCTACAATAGTCGCTATCAACTTAAAATTACATGACTTCACAACGAGTTGGTCATTGCATTTTGCAATATTCGTTATTTTTAGAGAAAAACGTATTTGTACTACAATGAAAACTAAAACAGATATTCAGCGGCCGGGGATGGTATTTTGTAACAAACAGTTTCTACAAATGACAACTCGCAAGTTAATGAATATTCAGTATATGTATGTGTAAGTGGGTGTTTTAAATAGATTTTCCGAGAGTCGAAGAAATATAAATATGTAGGCATTGAAAAACTTTGGCGAAGTTTGTATGGCCCGAGAGAGTGAAATAAAAGTGAAGCGGCAACAGGCAAACAGAATAACGATCTTGATATGTGCCATGTAGTACTGTACATTTCAGTATTGTCTATAGTGACCCCTGTAATAAAAACGAATATTATAAATACAATATTTCAAAACAAAAGTATAAATAATCTGAAAGAAAATGATTGCCTGTAACTCTCAACACACATTGCAAATTAAAAAGCAGCAATTAGGTGTGCAATAATAACACGATGACGGTAAAAGGCATGACATTTATTTAAATCCGAGGTTTCGCTGGACAGGCATTATTATTTTAAGTAACGTAACGCTCGATTACTATACCGTTTGTTCGTAAAACGTATGCATTTTAACCTATTCAATACTTTGCCATGCGCATAACGGCAATACAGATTTCCCTTTGATATAATTAATATCATCAGCATAGGTCCAGGCAGTAGTCGTTGTGATTACACTTTGATGATGTTTATCGCAAATATATTAAATGTTTTTATATTCACCTCAGTTGTCTTCGAGCTGGGTACGTAGTAAACTGGTTCAGCGTCTCTTGTCATTGGTGAAAGTGCTGTGTAATTAATGTCTTCTGTATTAGCCTATGCATATGATATGAAAATATATATTGACATTATATGACCTTATATGACATTATGTATACTCACCTTATATGACATTATGTATACTCACCTTATATGGCATTATGTATACTCACCTTATATGGCATTATGTATACTCACCTTATATGGCATTATGTATACTCACCTTATATGGCATTATATATACTCACCTTATTTGACATTATGTATACTCACCTTATATGCCATTATGTATACTCACTGA